AAAATATAGATTTATGTGGATGCTTCAATTATGGTAGTTCTGGTTATTAATTTTCTTTAAATTATACATACTTTAGGCTTCAATGCTGTAATTACGCTAATTCTCCCATAGAGAATATGTGTTTTTCTTTGTGAGCCTGGAAGGTGAAATAAAAGGGGCATGAGGTTCTTTTTTTTGGTGGTTTTAAAAAATGTAAAAGAGCCTAAAGTTATTCTTTTAAACCTAAAAATGGTTTCTGGGCTGTTTAAAAACAACAACAACAAAAAACTTGTCTTTTCTGTAACACTGATTTGGGTACCTAATAAAATTGTCATCACGAGACTAAAAACTGAGCACTTGAAAGAGGAAGGAATATCTTAATGGGATTGACTATTTAAAACTTAATTCTTGTCTAGCACCTATTAACTCTCATTGCCTGAGGGAAAGCATATCTTTGTTAAAGATTCAGCTCACTTCCCCCTTCTTCTCTAAACCTTGTCTGTATTAGAATTTAAACGGGAGATGTGCTTGCTAACATATTGTGGGTCTAGTGTAAAGTAGGAACGCTGCCTTGAACATGTGTTCTTCTGATCAAGTTAAAGCCTTAGTGAGGAGCCTAGGTTGAACTCCAACACCTGAGTATGTGTTAAACTAAGTATACATTGCTTGTCTGTACTAAACTTTTAGAATGTTCAGGGTATGTTTACATCACAAACTAAATTGTAATGATGACAGGCACACCTGCATTAGCTTTAATTTAGCTAGTGCAGCTAACAGTAGCAATGAGGATGTGACTAACGGGTCTAGGCAGCTAGCCTGTGCTTAAATCTGTGCTATTGTTTCCCCTGCTAGCTAGATTAAAACTAATGCAGATATGCCTATCTGCGCTATAGTTGCACCTGAATTTCCAGTGCAGATGTAGCATCAGCCTTTTATTCTAGTGTAGATAAGGCCTAAGAGTGCCCATGCATGTACTTGTGGTACCACCCCATCCCCAAGAAGTCTTTCAACAAAACTAGGGAAGATCAGACTTCGATACTGCTGATATTTCTAAGGTAAAGAAACAAGCAGGACAAAAACATGCAAACTCTTTCTGTAAATCATGGGGGGAAATCATTTGTGAGTCATCTTTAAAGAATAAATAGCATAGCTTTAGGAATAAATGCAGGGATTTATGATGTTATATTTGAGCTTATGTTGATGATTTCATTAGAAATAACTTATTTTTTTAGAGTCTGTTACTCTGCCAATATTTTTAAAGAAACTTTGTATCTATACTGTAAGACCAGGAATAATTGTGTTAGTCTTAAGTTATTTTATTGTATATAGTAAGTTATTAGAGCCTTTAAAGTGAAGAGATACTGGGACCTGGAAACTGGCCTTCCCCCACCTATCCTTTTACACAGCAGTGGTCTCCATAACACAGCCCTCTAAACTGATAAACTAATTACTAATTAAGGGCTGGATTCACCAGTTCAGTTTGACTGCTTTGCCTTGCCCTGGTGATGCAAAGCAGTTGTAAACTCAACTATTGGTGCACTCTGGCTGCTTTATGCTGTTCTGAATACCAGTGAATCTGCTGTTAAATTAAGTTTTTAAAAAATTAAGGTTGACAGAAATATTTCATAGTAGCGTTCTCTTTGGATTTCTTGTTTAGTATTCATGTACGAGATTTTAAATAATTTTAAAAAAACCAATATTCCTTAACAGAAAACTAGATGAAAATTGATTTTTGTCTCCTCAATATGAAATAGCCCCTCTGTTTTGGGGATAAAATAAAAATTAAGACAATTTTTAGCGAGTTAATGTACACTGACTTTCAGTTAAAGTTTCTAAAGGATGTTTATCATATTAACTGAGGCTTGTCTACACTGGCACTTCATTGGCAAAACTTTTGTTGTTCAGGGGTGTTACAAAAACACACACACACCTGTCCCCCTCTCCCCCCCCCCAACTGACAAACGTTTTACCGACAAAAAGCACCGGTGTGAACAGTGTTTTGTCAGTGGAAGCGCGCTCCTGCCTACACAGCCGCTGCCGCTCGTGGTGGGGTGGAAGTGTTTTGTCGGCAGGAGAGCTGTCTCCTGCCGACAAAAAGCAGCCACACAGGGGTGCCTTTTAGTGGCACAGCCGTATTGCTAAAAGCCTCATAGTGTAGCCATAGCCTTACTGAGCATAATCCACAGTCAGAACTCGTGTGTTGAGTGACGTAGTCTTTGGCCTACTAGATTTTTTTAAATAAGATTTTTTTTTAAATGTTAAAATATAGATTTATGTGGATGCTTCAATTATGGTAGTTCTGGTTATTAATTTTCTTTAAATTATACATACTTTACATATGTTTTTTCTCACTAGCACTTAGTTGCTTCATAGCTTGGGGGGAGTGATTTGAAGTTGTATTTGGTGAAAATAATAGTTTTCTGCAAATCAAAATAGTTTTAGGGAATGGAATTTGGTTTTGCTTTGTTGGGTGGTGGATAATTATCCCCTGAAAAATGTATGTGAAAATTTACTTAACATAAAACAGCTTATTCATAAACACATAGAGTAAATCTTTTTTAAAAAAACAAGCAAACAAACAAACAAACAAAAAACTTCCTAGCCAATCAGCCATCAGCAGAGTTGGGGGATGGACTGGCCCAGGATGTTTGGCATCTTACTATTATGGTGGTAGGGAGTTAGAATTCCCTTAGATGCATGCATGCATACTAAGGATGCTAAAAGCATTTTGACCTGTCTAGTCAATTGTCTGTAGTTTTACATGGCTCAGTGGAAAAATGACCTTTTTATGCTAGACTGTCTTCTGAAATAACTGATGCTGTGTTATTTTGAAAGCTGAAACTTCCAGATTTCCTAAGACAAATAACAGTTTTAACTATTTGAGATACTGTGCCTTAAAATCAAATTCAGTTGCTGAATCAGGGCCTTTTGAGGGTAGGTGCATGCACTAAGTCTAGGAATAGGGGATAAGAAGCTTGTGTGCTTGTGCAGAGAGAATGTGTATGCTTTAGTGCATATAACATATTTTTTCTGGTCTGAGATCTATCCAGTCAGCTCCACCACTAATTAAATAGTAGCAGAAAAAAAATATTGGCTTGTTTCTGATTGGCTTATGTATTGAAAATATTACAACATGGTGCTGTTATGCATTTTCTCCATGAGAGACAGGTAGCTACTTTTGTTTTTGTTAAATTTGGTGTAATTTCAATAAGGTTTGTGGTACTGTGTCTGATTTACAAATTCAAGTTCAGGTTTTTGCATTGTTTGTATGCAAGCATAATGCTGTTATTGGAGCACATGTTCATATTTCACCAATGCTACTGTCAGATTTGAAATCACTGATAAAATTTATTTGGAAATAAACCTTAACTCATAACAAATTACTTATGTTTTTAAAGTGTTTAATATTAAACTATTTCGTTCTTATTAAATGTCAGTTTTTATCATAATTAATTATTTTACTTTCCCACTTTTACAGTTCAGTTTCACATTGCCCACTTATATGAAATCCAGGTAAGTGTTAAGCTTTTTGTATTTTTGATGACGTATAGTCAGTGTATTATATAATCAGTTTGTGAAATCCAGCCCACTAGTGACACTTTTATGAATGAAAGTTAGGCACATGCTATGTGAAGTTCGCATCAACTTATGTTCATTAAGAAAATAATTATAATGGACGAACAGCTCAGGAAATGTAATTTGTTGTGGTAAATTCAAAATATTGCACATATGAGTCCAGCTAGCTATTTTTTCTTAATCTTTGTATTTGCCAGTTCCTAAATACACTGTCAGTCATTTTCAGGCAAGAACTAAACTTGAATTATTGGCTGAAATTTCTTTGTGAAATTTAAATTGACTTTCAATACAGTAGTTCCTAAAACAGTTGCCAGATGCTCTAAGGCTCCATATGTGTGAACACATAGACCTAAAGACACCTAAAAATGAGGTTACTGCCAGATAAGATGAGTCATCATCTGCAGACTATAAAGTTATGCTGTTATGAATTCTGGGCCAAATTCTGCCCTCAGAGTTTCCTCAGTAGGCTTTTGGTAAGGTATGGACAGCTTATCCACCAATTTGAATGAAGATGCTAGGGTGCAAATAAATGTAACACACTAGCTATTAAGAATACCTTCAAAGTGTGGTGTAATTTGAGTGAAAACATAGTCACACAATGTGAATTGTACACTTTCTATTTGGTATAGATGTAGATACTAGTTGAAAAAAAAACAAGAAAAAGATGTGTCCTGAAGAACACAGATAAATTGAAAACAAAAGCTATTATAAACAAAATGGTGCCAAGTAAATTCTGTGCTTTCCTCAACTAAAGGATAAAGTAAATGTAATTGTTGTGGGGGGAAGCATAAATTGACTTTGTTTTGTGAAAGTTAAATAATTTTTAAAAAAAATGTATATTTTGTAAATAAAACATCCAGACCCTCATATCAGGTGCCTTACATCAGTGGTTTCCAAACTTTTTACCGAGGTGACCCACCCACGGTCCAAATTTGTGGGGAGGTGGTGGCAAAATCATAGGCTAGGTTGGTCCTTCACTGCTGCCACCAGTGCTGCCTCTGCACCCTGCTGAGGAGGCACTGACTACCTGCAGCAGCGTTCTCTGCCCTAGCACTACAATGCTAATTCCGGCCTTGTGCAGAAGGGAGGCTGTCATGGTGGAAAGTTGGTTGGGCCAAACCTGAGTCGCACTGTAGCCCTGCAGATTAGGTTGTAACGTCACTCACCCAAATTTGGCCCAGCTGCCCCTCTGTCATTGACTGCCTCTCCTCGGCAATAGGCCAGAATTACCATTGCTGTGCTGAGGCAGAGGACGTGGGGCAGGTCATGATGTAGGGGCAGCCGGGCCAAACCTGAGTGCTGCTGCTGTTTCTTTGTATGGCTGATGTAGAGCAACAACTATAATTTTACATTTAGGTGATTAAGACAGATAATTACGTGAAGAGTATGGTGGCTTGAGTTGTTGCTCTGAAGACCGGGAGATCGTTGATCGATGTTCCGTCGCCGTTGCTGGAATTAGTCATGATTTCTCACTTAACAAAGTGGGCTGTGTGAAGGCTGGCATCTTCCACTCCTGAGTGGCGCTATGGCGCTGTGACCCCATGCGCCAGAACGCAACGCCTGGAGCAGGGAATTGGGGCCAGCCCCACGGGACAAGAGCTACCACTGTGGCGTGAGTGCAGGGTGGGCTCGCTCTCCAACCTCCACCCCACTGGGCCTTTGACCCATTAAACCTTCTCATGATCCCATCATTTGGGAGAAACCTCTTTATATAATTGGATGATGGGATTTACCCTGACCAGTGTTTCGTCTCGCCTAAGTGGCCATTCTTGGTGCATCCTAGCCAAAGTCTCTTGCCAGTCAACTATACATCTATGTGGGATTGAGGGTTCCCATGGAACTAAAGGTTCTGTTTAAAAATAACTTTTAAACAATGTTATATTCTCCTACAGTTATCAGTGAAAATAAATATAAATAAAAGTGAAAATTACTTAATTGATTTTCATTTTCCAAGCTGAGCAAAATTCAGGAAGAAAACCAATATAAATAGCGAGAAATAAATTGGATTTTTAAAATTTTCATTTTTAATATTCTGAGTAATATAAACAAGAACTTTGAGTATAGCATGTTATTTTTAAGTTGTGTTTCTTTAAAGGTAACCTGCAAATTGTAATTAATTTGATTCATTTTGCCTAATTTGGTCATTGAATTTATTTTGTGGAAAGCCTCATATAGCACAACAAAGATTATATAACTACATTTTCAGTTATATAATCTGAAAATTGTACAACATCGTATATACTTCAGTCCTTACCAATTGTTTGTTTAGAATGTAAATTTACATTCTACCTATACAACTGCAAATTAGCTCCTACAGTGGAAAATGTTGATTTGTCATTCTCCTAGAACACCAGTTTTGTGGCAGTCTCATGTCTTTTCCAGCAAGCCCACCTAGTTTGGTGTTAATATTAAAATAAATAACCAGAATTGGAGCTGATTACTAAGAAATACCCATTTAACAAAAATTGCAGTGGAGTTTTATCAGTTTAAGTGATATCAAGAGGAATATACACAACATGTTTAATTGATTCTACTTTTAATATGTGTAAGTGAAAAACGCATATGTACAAGATTAAAGGCTTGAGAAAAATGTTTTAGAACGTGTCCATCTATATTGGAGTACAGTATTTTAGATAAATGGCATACATACCCTGTTTCCCCGAAAATAAGACATCCTCCGAAAATAAGGCCTACTTACAGTTTTGCCTCTCGTTGTAATATAAGGCATCCCCCCGATAATAAGGCATCCACCGATAATAAGGCATTTTTCATTTCTGAAAAATAAGACATCCCCTGAAAATAAGACCTAGCGCATCTTTGGGAGCAAAAATTAATATAAGACACTGTCTTATTTTCGGGGAAACAGGGTACATATCAGTGTTTTCACCAACATAACTAGAGACAATATTGAAAAGGTGAAATGCATTATTTCTGCTGTGCCAAAATTAACTCAAAATTTATAATTTATACATGTTGCAACTTTTAAATAATGTGATAAATTTAAAAATATAATTTTAAATATGCAGTTTTATTCTATAAAATGCAAACAGTATGCGTTTATGATGAGTTACTTACATTCAAGGCTAAGGCTTAGAGAGAGCTCTTGGATACAGCAGACTCTGTTTAAATGGCAGACTGATAAATGGCATGACTACTTAGGGCTTGTCTACACTACCTGCCGAATCGGCGGGCAGCGATCAATCCAGCGGGGGTCAATTCGCGATAAATTGACTGCTGAACGCTCTTCCGTCAACTCTGGTACTCCACCAGAATGAGGAGTGCAAGCGGAGTCGACGGGAGAGCATTAGCTGTCGACTCACTGCAGTGAAGATACCACAGTAAGTAGATCTAAGTACGTCGACTTCAGCTAAGCTATTCATGTAGCTGAAGTTGCGCATCTTAGATCGACCCCGTGCGGTAGGGAACAGATTAACTGCACTGCATTTCAATGAGCGAGGAATGTATAAATGGCACACTTCATGTTTGTAAGCCTGCTTGCACTAGATAGGTATATTTCGTAGAATAAATATTTTGATTTACTTGGATTTCTAAAATATGCTAGTCAAAATATATCAAGTATCAGTTTAAAAAAGGGGGGCGAGGAGGGAAATTTGAGACTTTTTCTCATGTTGAGTAGCACCTTGCTCTGAGTGATTCCACTAAGTCAGTGGAATATTTTGGGGGGAAGGTTCTGTTCAACATGAGTAAAAATACCAAATCTGCCCAAATTGTGAAACAGAAATTTCAGTTGTTGTTTCAATGCCAGTAAAATTCCACTTAATCTCCTTCCCAATACAGTTCTTTATTCAATGCCTGATATTTATGTTCTAGAATGACAGCTAAATATATCACTTACCTAAATTCAGTTTTTAAAAAATATTGTATACAGCACGTGTTCCTAAAGCAAATAGTTAAATATTAACGTTTGCAAGCACAATCTCTTCCTGTAATATTTTGACAATAGATATTTTGATTCTATCTGTTTAAGAATTGCCTATTGTAATGCTACCCATGTGGGCCTCAGATATGATAATAATGTAAACAATGGGTGAGATCCTCAGCTGTTGTAAATCAGCAAAGTTCCATTGAAGTCAATTGAACATCACTAATTTTTATTAGCTGAGGCTTGGTCCAATAGCTTTTCAGGCATTGATCACACATGCTGCAGTGCGGCGAACCTAAAATCAGTGACAAAACTCCTGATTCTGTAGTAGCACATTTAGTTTAGTTAAATTATTTTAAAGTTTTTATTTTAATTATGAATCCAGTACACTTAGCCTATTTTTAACTGTTGACAATATTATTAAATGCTGCCCAGGGTGTTAGAGTGGCGTGATAGTGAAGGGTATGTGGTTGGTTGACAGGTTAAGGAATCAACCCTCTAATTCTGAATTCTAGTCTTGAGACTTTCAAGATTCATAGGCCAGAAATGGATCATTATGATTATCTAGTCTGACCTATGTAACTCAGACTATAGAATTTCACAAGTGATGCCAGCATCAAACCTGTTGGAACTTCTGGCTGAGCTTGAGAATATCTTTTAGAAAGTCCTCCAATCTTGTTTTAAAGACTTCAAGTGATGGAGAATCCACCAAATGCCTAGGTAAGGATTTCCAGTGGTTACCCTCGCTGTTAAAAATTATTTCTACTCTGAATTTGTTTAGCTTCAACTTCCAGCCACAGGATGTTGTTATGCCTTTATTTGCTTGGACTAAAGAGCCTCTACTATCAGAAATCTTTTTTCTGTGTGTAGATACTTAGAGACCTACATGCCTGTAGGTGATCAAGTCACCTGCTAACCTTCTATTTGATAAATAGATGAGTTTCTTTAGTCTCTTACTGTAATGGTGTGTTTCCAGATCTTGAATCATTCTTTTAGCTATTTCTGAAGCCTTTCCAATTTGTCAAGATCCTTTTTAAATATGGGCATTAGGTCACAGTATTCCAGTAATATTCTCACTAATGCATTGGTCTCCCTGTTTAACCTTTTCACATACTGGCATATTAGCTTATTTCTAGCACTCTGTATCTTCCGCAGTAATCCAAGATTTATTAAATATCAATGAGTCACAGAACGCCTTCACCAGTTCTCTCAGAACTCTTGGGTGCAAGTTGTATCTAGTCTTGCAGATTTTAAAATGTTAACTTCAGTAGTTGCTGTTTGCTATTGGAATAGAAAGTATTTCATACTCACACCTTTGAGTGATAATATCATCCAGTTTCTTTCCAAATATAGAACAGATATATTTATTGAACTCTTCTTTCTTTTCCTGCATCATTGACAATTTTACCATCCCTACCTATTAACAGACCTATACCTTTGCTAAGATTTCTTTTGGTCCCGATCATAAATTTTAAAAATTCCTTTGTATTGCCCTTAACCCTACTGGACATGGATTTTTTCAGATAGCTAGCTTCCTTTATCAGTTGCCTACATTCTGTGACTTCTGAGTTAGTCATTGCTATCAACTTCCCCTTTTTCTATTTGTTATATATTATTGCTGCTTTCACTTTCCTTCTTAACGAGACTGATATTTTAATCAAGAAAGCCCTGTCTTGTGATTGTGGAATTTGGGCTTTTGGTCATCTAATAAAGGTAACAACTCCTAATAATCATTCATATTTGCTTTGTTTAAATTTTAATTCCCAGTCAATTTTGCTTATAATTGCTTTAAGCTTCATGAAATTGTCCCCATTAAATCACCAAATAAATATATATTTTACTGCTCAGGACTGTCTTCTGTTTGCACACAATCGATGTAACTAGATTGTGAATATTTGCATCGAGACAGTCACTAACTTTTAGTTCAGTGGTAAATTGATCTTTGTCAGAAATGAGGTCTAATTTTGAGTATTGCTAGCTAAGCTGTAATTCATTTTATGTAAGGAAATTATTTTAATATTTAGACATTCCAAAAAAGTTGTATTAGTGGTAACATGAGACCTCCAGCACGTATCTCCCAGATTGAAATCAGGGAGGAGTAACTGAGGAATTAAGGCATTTAAAATAAATTGACCATTAAAAATAATTACATTATGTACAGTATATATAGTCAAGATAACAGACACAGGTTAATGCTGTCAAATAAAATTCAGCTGTTTGAAACACTGCCCATTTAAGTAGTGAAGGAAAGAGTACACAGTCTGGAAGCCCTTTTCATCACCAGGGCCCTGAACCTATAAACTACTGTTACGGGTTTTCCTGGAATGCAACCTGGAACTGGGGTACCATTGAGCCCTCTTGTCTTACCAACCTGGGCTCCCTCTCACACTGTGATGTTGTACAAGCTGCAAACCTCTCCAGGTACTGCACTTACACAGACATCCACCAGGCAGGGACACACCTAGTTGAGGAGTTACATGAATGCTTCTCCCAGCCACTTATGAACCAACAACAGAGAGGCTCCAGCCTATTCTCTCCAGCTCCCCAGCCTAGGATCCCAGAGGTGTACCATCTTGCCCTGGTCAGAAGCCTGACCAGTGTAAGTTTGTTACCCAGTCCATCCCTCTCTCATTGTGTAGAGAACATGCACCAGCTTTTGTTCACTGAGCAGAGGTTTCCCTAGCACTTCAAGCAAAACACACTGTTTTAGGTAAAATATAGAACAGATTTGTTAACAGAAAGATAGATTTTAAGGGATTGTAAATGGTAGGCATCATGAATAGAGACGATTACCAAAGAAAACAAAAATAAGCACACCGTCTTAAATTCTATAAACCAAACAATATTTGAATCAGGCAGATAGTACAAACAGGTTACAGATCTTCGATGTGTAGGCTGGAACTCTCCTTCAGCCTGGAACCACCTCCCCAGTTCAGAAGACTTTGTCCTCCAGACATGTTTCCAGGTGTTGAGTTGTGGGGGGTGGGAGGGAGTGAGGACAAGTAGTGATGTCACTTCCCTCTTTTCTAGCTTCTTCCAGTTTGCTAGAAAGAGTCTTTGCTATGATGTGGGTCAAGCCGTCTCCATTGCATACAGTTCCTAGGATAGTCCTTGAGTGTGTGGACTCCCTTTAATGGGCCATCAGCAGTGTCTGGCTGCTCCATTGTTGTATCCAAAAGGCTGGTTGTGGGTGTTCCCAACCTCCCAACATAATTCAGTAACACACACACAGCAAAACTTTATAACTTCCCATACAATGATAGCACATACAGTCCAACAAGATATTAATGTTTAACAGATCAAGACCTTTTAAAATGATATCTCACAAGGCATACTTTGTACAAAACATATCATAATTATATGACAGTGGTGAATATGGGGGTTCCAGGGTGCTGCTTTGAGGTACAGAGTGCCACAAGTACTCAGAGGTTTGCAGATGGGGGCCCATGCTTCTACAGTACATATGAATTAGAAAGTGAACACTTTCATGATTCAAACGTATCTTGTATAAATAGAGGATGACAAGATAGAACAGGGGTAGGCAACCTATGGCATGTGTGCCGAGCTGATTTTCAGTGGCACTCACACTGCCCCGGTCCTGGCCACCGTTCGGGGGGGGGGCTCTGCATTTTAATTTAATTTTAAATGAAGCATCTTAAACATTTTAAAAACCTTATTTACTTTACATACAACAATATTTAGTTATATATTATAGACTTATAGAAAGAGACCTTCTAAAAACATTAAAATGTATTACTGGCACGCAAAATCTTAAATGAAGACTCGGCACACCACTTCTGAAAGGTTGCCGACCCCTGAGATGGAATATCCTAATGCTGCTAATATATTCCAGTACCTTTAGTGTCTGTGTATATTTGAAAATCATAGCTCCCAGTATGACTGAAATCATCTTACTACTGGGTGATAAATATTGAATGCTACCTACAGCCATAAGTTATAGAAAAATAGATTTTAAAATATTGACCTTTTTGCATCATCTACAGACTGCCTCAGCCACCAACATTAGAGCATGGCTGCACTACAGCAGCACAACTACAGCGATGCAGGTGTAGCGCCATAGTGCAGATGCTTTCTACATCAGTGGAAGGGGTTTTTCCACTGATGTGGTTAATCCATCTCTGCAAGAGGCGAAAGCTACGTTGACGAAAGAATTCTTCTGTTGACCTTGCTGCATCTTCACAGGGGGTTAGGTTCAGATAACTTCAGTGCTCAGAGTGCTGTATTTTTCACAGCCCTGGGCGAAAGTAGCTAGGCCTATCTTATTTTTAAATGTAAACGTGGTCTTCATTTCTGTTCATTTCTGTTTTGTAGTTTGTGGGAGGAATTTACAAGTTTATTAACTGCACTCTGTTACTATAGCAATGAGCTCAGTATACACCCCGACTAAAACAGTATAGAAGTGTAGGGCCAAATTTAAGAAAACCCATTTTGATATTGCAGTGACGATTGGTTTGAATATGAATGGCATGATGCATATGTAGGAAACCTGGCTAAACCACTCGTTTGCAAAATTTTCCTCTTCATTATATTGTTTTATGTATTGACTTTATACCAACTGTTATATCTTCAGACAGGTTATTCCACTGCACTATGTATCTCCATCATTAAACCTTTCATTGCACTTTATACAAGAAATTTTGCTGTAGATTTTCTGGGAATGCATTTGTGTGCTATCAGTGCTGTGTAACAGTTACTATTGGTGGTAGGATATAAGTTTTATGAATAATCCATTTCTTCCCCCCGCAGAGAAAGTATCACTCTGCAAAGGAAGCTTATGAACAACTTTTGCAGACCGAAAACCTTCCTGTACAAGTAAAGGCAACTGTCTTACAGCAATTAGGTATGTAAAAGCAATTTTTTTTTATTTGTGTGTGTGTTTGGATTTGCCTCTCTGGTTGTTTTTATTTTGCTATGTGTCTTTGCAATTAATAATTAGTGCATTCAGAAGATGCTTTGAAGGTTCTATTTCCAGTGAGTCAAAAATGGGGTTTTTACCCAAGTCAGAGAGAATAACATAACCATAAATAACCTCTCTACTAGTAGAAGGGAGGAGAGAGACAGACCTTTAATGGAAACTTTATAATTTGTAGGGTTCTTGGATATTATGGTGATTTATACTAACAGTACATTGTGCAGTATATTGGAGAATTTTGGTGAAAAACAGGAGTAGTTAAGCACCGGTTGCCACAAAATATTTGTTTTATTTGTAGGGAAGGTTTATAATGGAAACTGCATAAATGAGTGAAAAGAAACCTAAAAGCTGGAGTCATTTTCCTTATTTTCGAAAGTTCAGGTATATTCTTTAGTGTAGGCTTTCTACTGGATGGGTTGAACATTCTTCATTTATCACATAGGCTTTATAAAAATATTTTCAAAGTATATTCACTTTTTTTTATTTAATACAGAGAATTCTTCATTCACTACTGTCATGTTTTTATCTAATTTAATATTTTTAATATTTTTTTAGTCTACTTCCTTCAGTCTTCCTTTCCTTTTTGATAATTGGCAGATGACTTCATCAAGAATTTGTCTATAATGCTTGCCTTTTGTGATGTAGATTGGTTGTGTATTGCTTGGATTTAATTTGCTTAGCTTTTGATTTTCTGTATAGGAGTAAAAATAAATAAAACTTGCTGAAATTTACATCTGCCATGTAAGAGCGTGAATGGTAGAGACACCACAGCAGCTACAGATCAGGTTGATTTCAGGAAATAATCACTAGTCCATACTTTTGAAACCCATAAGCGGAGTAAGAGAAGGTATTCAAATGTGGGTCAGGTTCTTCTTTGAGTGCTGTCCCTGTGGGTTCTCCACTCCAGGTGACGGTGCATCCCGGCACCGTTGATCGGAGATCTTCAGTAGAAGTGCCTGGTCAGGACACACGTGCTCAGCTGCTGTCTCAGAGAGTCTGCCTGAGCGCGCGCGTCCCGCACCCCCCCTTAGTTCCTTCTCAACTGTCCTTGGCTGAAGACGGGACTCGGGGCAATTCTGATCCTCTTCCCTGGTCTCTGAAGGCAACAAGTACAAAGAGATATAAATAGTTAGTTAGTAACATCCCAGTTATTTCCCTTCCTTTAGAATATTTACTTAGTTTAAAACAAAACAAAACAAAAAAAAACCTTTTTCCTCAAGTTTGTCTCCCATTTAAACACTCCCCTGGCATTCCTAGTGCAATAATGCCAGGTCTTTTGGATTTAAGAAATGTGCTTCCTGTCAAGACTCTATAGCACGGTCCGATGGACACTCACGCTGTGTGAAGTGCCTCGGCGAGACACACGTCCCTGCCAAGTTTATCCATTGTACCAGCCTCAAAAACCGGGCTTGTCGTGACAGGGATCTGTGGCTGAAAATGCTCCTGATGGAGAAATCCCTACAGCCGCTTATGGAGAAGGGCAATAGCAAAACCTCTCCCGCACCCTCCCCGGCCAGCTCCGAACCGATCGGGAGCGTGGCTTCACCCTCTCATGCGAAGAGGCAGGAAGCCCAATTGTCTCCGTCCAGAGGCTTTCAAAAGGGAAAAGGGTCTCCTGCGAGATCCTTACCTTCAGTGCTGACAGCACCAAAGGCAGGCGCCTCCAACGGTCCCAACATCTCAGCCATGGCTCCCGCGGAGCGCAGAGGCAGGGACCCGACTTCCCGTACTGGGAAGGTCTCGGCACCGGTCCCCATGGCACCAAAAATAGAGCTGGTGCCAACATCACGTTGTGCCTCGGTACCGACAAGAAAGTCGGCACTGAGCCTGCCTGCCACTCCAGCAGCAGCAGTGGACCTCCCGCAGGGTGCCTACAAATGGCCCGGGGCACTGGGGAAAGCAAAGCAAAAGTCAGTGTACACTTCTGAGCACAGATCACTCTCAGCAGGATCACAGCCCAGGGAACAGCAGCAGCAATTCTGAAGTCAGTACGACGTCTCAGTGCCCCTCAGCCTGACTCTTTGCTCCTTGACACACAGCGCTCACTCTTTGATCAGCTGTTCTCCCCACCTGACCTGGCTACCTTCACTGACAGCGAGCCTGATATGCAGCAGCCGCTGGAGTTCTCCCCGCCTGCCGCCTCCTCCATCAGAAACTTTTGCACCTCAGGACACGGCTCACAACCACCAGGCTCAGTTTCCCTACTTCACCCCACCATGGGCGGCACCTAACTTCTCTTATCCCATGCCTTGGCCTCAGTGGTACCTTTGGACAGCTCCTGCTGCTACTCGTCCTCATGCTTCTTCCACCAGACCACAAGCTTCTTCTGCGCCTCTATCTCCAGCTCCGTCTACTTCTAGAGCACCTCACCCCCCCCACCCCCCGGGAAGAGGTGGGCTATGGACCATATCCTGATTCACCAACTCCTAACTCTCCATCAGCTCCAGATGGAGCCCTCATGCCTCCGCCTCCACAGAATGTGGACGACTTTAAACAATTCCAAGAACTTTTCAAGAGGGTGGCACTCAGCCAGGACTTCCCTTTAGAGGAGGTGCAGGAGAGACAACACAGATTCCTCAATATCCTCCAACCTTCTGCGCCCTCAAAGATCGCACGCCCCATAAATGAAGCACTCCTAGAACCAGCTGACACCCTTTGGCAGACCCCAGCCTCTATCCCACCAACTTGCAAAAAAGGCTGACCGTAAATATTATGTTCCTGCTAGGGACGTAGACTTCTTATTTTCCCATCCACAACCGAATTCTCTTATAGTGGATGCAGCGACACACAGGACAAAACAGCCACACTACCGGCCCACCCTGCAAGACAAGGACCTCAAACGCCTTGACTTCTTGGGCCGCAAAGTCTATTCCTCCTCCACTCTGCAATTCAGAATTGCAAACTATTCTGCCCTACTTGCAAGCTATGACTTGGACAATTACAATAAACTCTTTGATTTTTACCTCCCATATCCCTGAGGACAGGAGAGCAGACTTTCAGTCCTTGTCCAGGGCCAATTGGTCTCCAGAATGGCCCTACAAGCATCTCTAGACATGGCAGACACAGCAGCCCACACTACCGCCACTGTGGTGGTTATGTGCAGATCTTCCTGGCTGTCTGCATCCAGTATCCCCAAAGACCTGCAGACCAAAGTGGAGGACCTCCCCTTTGATAAAGATAAGCTTTTTTTCCCAAAAAAACTGACAAAGTCCTTCACACTATGAAAGATTCTAGAGCGACCCTGGGCATTTATCCATCCCTTCCCAGGAGACAATGGTATCAACCATATCAGAGGCCACACACACAACAATATAACCAACCCCAGCCCAGACCATACGATATAGCCAGGAATCGCGCTAGACCACCTAGGCGCAGACAAAACCAAGTGCCACCAGCTACCTCCCATCCATTGGGAAACAAACAACAATTTTGAAGTGTTGGTCGAGGGTCTGCACGACAACCTCTTGATTCCACCACCCATTTGCCCATTTGGCCACCACCTCCAGGTTTTCCACCATACTTGGCAGCAGATCACACAGGCCCCTTGGGTCCTGGAAATAGTTCAGTCCAGTTACTCAGTCCCTTTTATATCCTACCCTCCCCCCATCCCTGACCCTCTTCAGGGACCCCTCTCATGAGCACCTACTTCGCGTAGAAGTGGCTCATCTTCTACAGCTAGGTGCAGTGGAACCTGTGCCGACACAACATTGAGGAAAAGGGTTCTACTCCCACTACTTTTTGACCCAAAAGAAGAGCCGGGGATGGAGGCCTATACTAGACCTACGCTGACTGAACAAATTCGTACATGTACAGAAATTCAAGATGATCACACCAGGCACAACAATACCCGCGCTGGAACAAGGGGACTGGTTCACAGCCTTCAACCTACAGGATGCCTATTTTCACATATCTATCCATCCATCCTGCGATTCACACTCGGACACAACCATTTTCAATACAGGGTACTCCCTTTCGGACTCTCCACCGCATCGAAAGTATTCTCCAAGACCCTAGCCGTAGTTGTGGCCCGCCTCCGCTGGGATCATACTTTTCCTCTACCTAGACGATTGCCTCATCGAAGGCAACTCATACGACGAGACATTACGAGCTACCCATTTCGCCCTTTTCCACAGCTTAGGTCTGCAAATAAACTTCCAAAAATCCACCCTGACACCTACACAGCGGATCAAATTCGTCTGAGCTCACCTGGACTCAATCCGAACCAGAGCATCACTCCCACAGAACAGATTCCTCGCTATTACACATGTCATACACACGTTCTCCGTTCGTCCCAGGACACAGGCAAGAATTTGCCTACAGCTCCTTGGTCACATGGCAGCCACCACCTTCGTGGTCAAGTACGCCAGGCTGCACATGAGATGTCTTTAGGGTTGGCTCAACTCCAGCTACAAACTCAGCAGACATAGCTTCTGCATGATGCTAACTCCTCCAGCGAACATACTAGCCAAAGAACACAAATGGGAATTACATCCCATGATACTACAACAGCTTTTCTCCCACTGGGGCACCCCATCGATAGACCTCTTTGCCACAACCCAGAATCACAAATGCCACCTGTTTTGCTCCAGAGTGGGATTTGGGACTGCATCCCTAGGAGACGTGTTCCTCATCCCATGGAACAACTCTCTCATGTACGCCTTCCCACCGATCCCTCTGATATACTGGGTTCTACTCAAGATCAGAGACGACAAGGCCCGGGTCATACTTATTGCCCCAGCTTGGCTGAGACAGACTTGGTATCCTTACTTGCTCCGCATGTCCATGCATCCTCCACGGACTCTCCCCAACAGACCAGATCTGTTTTCTCAGGACAATGGCCAGTTTCTTCACCCGCAGCTCCAGAAACTCCACCTGACGGCATGGTTCCTTCATGGTTCCAGACCCACGAACTAGCCTGTTCTGAGCAA